AATATTTAAAACTCTCCTTCTCTGCCCCTTCAGTACTCTTTGTAGAAATCAGTGTTTCTTAAAATGCTAGTGTTTCTTAATGCTAGTGAGTAATGGAAAAAAAACCCCAAACTTCTTCTGGGTTTACACACAGATAAATGTCAATTTCTGTCCAAATCCAGAGGGTGGTTGTGTCATGTGGTTTTATGCTGACCGAAGTCCGTCTTAAATCTCTGATTTTAGGGAGGAGAACGGGATTCTTCTGTTGTGAGTCATGTTTTATCAGATCTTGATCATGCTTCTACTGATGTCAGCAGGAGTTTTTCCATTGAGTTTATTGATTGAATGGTTTTTCAGTGTTATAAAGAGCTACTGGTTTACATTTGAAGTCATCCTAACAGCTGTGAATGGCATCTCATGTGCCCCGTACCTGTTAAGGAAGAAGGTCACCCATTTGCCTTGTCGCTGCTGAGTCAAAAGCATCACTAAAATATCCTGTAAGATCATTCATTGACTGCTTTTCTAGATAATATTTGTTAGCCATACACTTAAAATGCTGTTCATTGCTAATCACCAGTGGAAGGCAACCCTTCAATACAGTCTTTAAAAAAAAAAATCTATGGAGATGAGAATGGAAGAACCTTCCATAGGTACTGTTTGCCTGTGTGTGCCTGAAATGTTTTATTTTGGGTGTTAATAACATAGAAGAGAATGATGAGATTCTCAGAGGCAAAACTTCTTATAAAAATGGACGTTGCCAAGGTAGAATCTGTTTTGTACCATGTCAGAACACATACCTTCTCCCTAATTATGTTTCAGCTGATTGAAGAACAATTTAAAAATCAAACATGTTTAAGGGAATCAGGTCATGTTCTCACAATGGACATCTGTTTCTTGTACTTTGCTGCAAATCTTGTGATGTTTGAAGGTTTGTAATTGTTTTTAAAATGCAGCTGCTTTCACTGGAATTTTGAAAATGGAGAGCTGTGTTACTCTGACATCAGTAAGTTGTGTTACTCTACATCAATGCTGCGTTATCTGTCTGCGTGCTTGGTTCTCAGTTTTCTCAGGTAGTTCCTGAGCTGGGAAAAAGTATGTAAAAAAACTTGGGAATGGACTCCAGCCTCTCTTGGCATACCCAGGACTCACAGGTGAAAGCTGCAGCACATGGAAGTTACAGACTCAATTGTCTGCAGCTTTTGTTCTGAAAACACTGCAACTCCTCCAAAGCACATCGGGGCCCCTGTGTCCAAGGGGAATTCCAGTGCTGTTGGCTGTTCAGCTGAAGATTTTTTAGTTGGTTTGCTATGATCAAATCACTTGAGGACATTTGGTCTCAGGAGGTGGAGATTTCTACATGGGAGACTGAACTGAGCTGCTGGAATGTATTGCACATTATCCACCAGGTGGTTTTCAGCCACTTTGATTTGATCTGGGTTTGATAGTGATGAAGATATGAAAGTCACATATTCCTCCAGCATTGCTTACATGACCTGGCATGTCCTGAGTAGCACAGGCTGTGCTTCTGGCAGCAACGACCCCTGCAGAATGCCTAGTTCCCTCTGCGCTCCTCTCCTTGGGCACCGTCTGTGCAGCACCAACATCCTCTAGGTCATGCCACTGGCTGGTGTGGATGCAGCTGTCCCAGCTTGTACCATGGAGTATTTGGTCTAAGCCTCCCTTGGGATGCTCTCCTCCTCCCCTCTTTGGAACCAGCACTCCTGCAGAGTTGCAGCAGCCATTGTAGAAAGAGCGAGGACCATGCGTGCACTGATATTTTATACTCACAGGTACATTGTGACCGTCTAGCTGGTCGGCAAGTTGCTCTGAATTTCTTGTAGGAGTTGGCGTGGTCTTAGGAGACAGGGAGCTGGCAGGAGCAGCAGCCAGTGGGTCTCTCCATTTGTTTTTTTTTTGTTTTTGTTTTGCTGCTTTAAAATCTGAAGATGGGTTTCAGTTAGGCAGCTGCTTTCAGTCACAGTGTTGTGCAAAGTAATTGACTTTCCATTGACTTTGGAATTTGGAATAGTGTCTAAATATTGTTGTCAGCTTCATGCTGATTCCTCTCCACTGAGGCTAAAGTTGTTTCACTTATGACTTCAAGCTGGACTTGTGCTTTGCTCCCATGGGAACTAAAAATAATAATTATTTTAAGAATAGGTTCTTAATCACTTCCTTCTTTTGATGCACTAGTTTTGTTTAGCATTTTGTAAGAATGTAATAGAAAAATGTTTTAAACTATTTGTGTTTTAAATCCAGCTTTAATTGGCTCTTTGAAGATGCAAGGAGTGTACAAGAATTAGTTACAGTTCCTTTCAGTTTTTTGTAGAAAAGCATTTGTTGTTGTTATTCTGAGTGAAGATTATTAGAGTTTTGTTGCTTTGGCAAACTGTCCAGTCACACAGAGCTATGAAGAGATGAACATTAAGTTGACAGATTTCTTAGTCAAAGGCATGTGGGCATTTTGTCAGTGTTGGTAATGCATCAGCATGTTAACCTCCTGTCTCCGAACTGTTAATGTACATATGAGAAACAGAAAAAGATGTGCTTTACTGGGTTTAGAAGGAATGATAAGACAAGATATGCAATGATTTTGTGGCAGAGCTGGCTGTGCAGTGAACACTGTGAAGGTGATGAGATAGTTTACAGAGATGGGGAAAATATTAAACAGATGGCGAGCCACAGTCTGCCCTGACCCACAGCAACTGGATAACAGTGAGATAAAATACTTAATTTGGAGATCTTGCCATAAACTGAAAGAGTCTTGAACCTCAGAAGTGGGGTTTTGAGAGAGGTATTTCAAAGAGTGGCATATGAATGTTCGGGGGTGGGGGGGTGGCGGATCTCTCCAGAAGGACTTTCCTAGACTTCAGTGAGCATACAAAGTGTGGTTGTACTGAGTGTCTTAGAGCCCAGCTACAGAGAATAACACAAGTATATTAATAATTGTTTTTCCTATTCCTTGCTAAAGTTTACATGGTTTACTACTACTTCCAGTCAGTGAAGTTGCTTGTTCCAGCAAGTCTACTTGCCTTAGAGGGAGCCAATGTTCTATTTTGTGTACCAAATTTTGTTTGTACTTTATTTCTTCTCAAGCACCAGAGTCCCAAAGGCTGCAGCAGAGCCTTACAGCATAGCCTAGAGGGCTCAGCATACAGCATAGACCCTGAAGGGGCAGCTGGGCATGGACCACGGTGAACACAGGACTCGCAAGCTTGTCGCTTACCTACTCTCTTGCTGCTGTGAGTTGTCCTTTTAGTGCAGTACATACCTGGTCTCTACACCTGCTTCCCTGTGCGTACAAAAGCATAACAGTTTATTTTTAAAGAGGATGGGGAGAAAAACAAAAAAATCTTTTTACTGTTGGGCAACAGCTCACCTGATGGTGATTTAACCTATTGCTACAACTGGCATTATACACAGCAGTAAAATTGAAAGAGCAGAGCTGGCTTTTCTTTACCTGTCACTTGGCTGAGGTCTGGCATTTGCTCATCTGTTACTGTTGTGGTTGTGGGAATACCTGAATGGTAACAGCAGTTGTGGTACTAGGAAGGGAGAAAAGAAATGATGAGCCAAATACTTGAAGAAAGTGGTAGTTTAATATCCTACTGTTGACAGCTCTGGCATTCTGGCTTCTTTTGTGTAGGCTGTGAGGTCTTTTTACTTGTTTATAGTATTACAAGTTTTATTACAAGTTTTCTTTAAAAAGAGCTACTATCAGGAGGTTTCCCAGACCAAGTAGGAAACTGGGAATCAGCAGTTCTCCAGCTTCAGGCCTGCCTCTGCATGGCCTTGGGCAAGCTGAGGGAAGTGCCTGGTACTTCTGTAGGGTGTACTTCCTATTCTCACAGTGATTTTAGAGCTTAAGTGTAAAACAGGGACTTTAAATGAAGAATAATTCAGCTCTTTGCATTCATTTGTACTGAATGTGTGATAGCAAATATGCAGTGCCCTAGCACAGGCCAGTTCTAGTACATCTCTCTAGTGCCACTGCAATTCATGGTAGAAGTCACTCCCGATTGACCAGGTGCTCGGTGATCTTTTCTGAGAGGGCAAAGTGTTTGGAGGTGGCGTTGCTCCTGTCATTCATTTATGTACTCTTCACTACAGAAGACCTTAACCTCTTGACCTGATGCTTGTAATAGTTCAAGATTAACCTGTTGCCTTTGCATGTGTTGTCATATTGATTGCAGTTTGTATTGTTGGTCCGCTTCCATTGCAGCAAGGATGCATAAACAGCATAAGGAGACATAAACTAGGAAGGTGTATGGCTAAAACCACAAAAAATGAGAGGGAGAACCTGGGATAGGCACAATACCTATACTTTAATCTGTGGCTTGAAATCTACATTATGAATATTTGCTACATCCTCTGCTCTGTCAGTAGTATGGATTAATGATTCATAAAGGTGTGTTTTAAGGGCTGGGTAGTTGTGTTTATACAGTGCTTATTGGAGTCCCTGTTGCTTCTTCCTTTTTCCTTCCGTCTCCCACCTCCCAAGATTGTTCATACATAAGCCATTTCTCTTTCCAGCCTTCCCTTTCCTTGGAGAAAAGTTACTATTTCTAGCCTGTTGCTGATCCTTTGTGCCCAGCTGTGTTTACCAGCACTGTAGAATCGGTGGGTGGTGTTTTTTCTTGGACCAGAACTGGCATTTCATTCTTCCTTTCCAGTTTTACCAGCCTGGAAAATTGAATGGAACTGTAGAAATTAACTTGTGTTGACTTCATTGAGCTCCTCGGCAAAATCCATGCCAAAACTGTATGTGGCCAAACGTGCAAAAACCTCTAGGCCAGGTTTTGGGCTTAATTTTGAGCAATCTTCTCAGTTGATGGAAGCTCTTAGGCTAGCATTTGAGAAGGTGGGATACTGGCAAGGAGAAAAGTGTGGGTGAAATGAGTT